CTCGTTACTGCGCTCCGGTTCACTCGTGCGCTGTCAAATGGTCCCCATTTACAAAATGAAAAATGACAGCGGACAGACTATTCACGTCTAGACATCAAGCATCTTTTAAGATGGGACTTATCGCCTCTCCCTGTTCATGGAGTTGATTCAAGGTGTTGACGTCAATTTCGTGATGCCCCGCATGTTGCCGGGACATGTTTCAAAAGGGCCTTTCCACAGCTATGGAGTCCGCCGTCACCTTGTCAATCGTGCGAGAAATGATGTACTTCACAAAAACAAAGAGAAGATATTTTCGATTTGCCCCGCCCCTACCACCGAAAGTCCCCGACAGGACCGCTTCAAAGTACTCCCCACCCGCTGGCTCAAATGGCTGGACTTGTTCCTGTGGTTGCGCGTTGGAGAGTAACAGGTCTAACTAATTGCACCGTGCATCAATGACAGTTTAGCTCAATCAGAAGCCCCTTTTCACTGGCTAGGTCAAGGTGTGTGCACCTCCTTTAAGCTGTTTTATTCCGTTCTTACTGAAATTTTTGATCTTGAGGAAATTTACAACGACAGGAGCAGGTTATGGGCTTTTTTCCTACCCCTAATCCTACATAACGGGAAATTGGGAAATCCGTCAGGTAGGCAAGAATTCGATAATCCTTCCATAATAATCCATTTTTTCACCGCGTGAATTGGGTACTTTTTAGCTTATTTCGAGGAAATACTTTTTGCTTCAAATCCAGGGTGGGCTTTTAAACACATTTTTTAAGCCAAATGGTTTTTGCGTGAATCTGCTTACCCGAACTTTTCGTATAAAAAACAACAAATACCCGAAAAAAGCTCGTGCTGTTGGTGGTGGTGGCATATTTCCGATAAATTCAGTTCAATGTCTCGTGAAGAAGAGTTCAGATCCGTGCCGCGCGCCTCTCGAGGCAAGCGTTCCGTCGAAATGCGAGCCCAAAAACAGGTGGTAAGCGGTCAATCTATGAAAAGTAACGCAATCTCCGTCGTTTGAGGGCAGCCGAAGATGCTCTTGCCTATGCTGTCCGTGATGTTTTTTATTTCCAATATCTAGGAAACCCACGCTAAAGTATGAAACATACACTCGTAGGCATTGTTCTGTCCGCTGAAGTCTAATTCCTAGACGCAGAAACGTTGTGCTTTTTGAAGTTTATTATTGTGCTTTGCCCTTTGACAACCTTACGTGACTCGTGCGTTTGGTAGCAGAAGATGGCTAAACTCTGCTTTTCTTGTTGGAAAACGGCTTTAAATTTTATCAGATCGCTCGATAAACACGTGTTGGTTTCTGATAGCTAATAACGTTAAACCATTGTTGCTCAAACTGATTTGTTATTGCATTTTTCTGAGTTTTTAGCATCGGCCCGCTGAGTCTAGATAGCTCAAGAAAAGTACTACTTGTATCTTTTGGCCTCAAAAATTTTCTTTTCAGTTGCCCATAGTTTTGAAAACAGATTCTGAAAGAAGAGATAACGCTCTTTAACGTGGTATAAGACTCGTTACTGAAATCGAGGTACCAGTCGACGATTTGGGGCTTTGAAATTTGCCATTTTTTCATTGAACGAACACGTTCAAAATATTGAAAATAATGAAAAATCTCCAAAATATTACACTATCGTTCAAACTGAGTAAATCACCACTTAAAATATGTGCAATTATGTACTCTTCTGAATAAGTTATTTGTTGTCCGCATTACAATGGATTTGAATTTTAAAACGATTTTTTTGTGACACATGGTCTCGAGCCTGGAAAACCCGGTTCGAGAGCCGCGAAACCAATAAGCCCCCCGTAAGTGGAAAATAACAATCGGATCGAAGTAAAAATTACATTTATGTTAATAGCTTACCTAGTGCTACTTTGTGAATTTTTTTGAGAATTTTCGATTTTTCACTTTTGTAGACCTCTGGTCGATATTTACTGACATCTGCTCTTAATATTCCAAGCGTCGAAACTTGCTTGTTGCACGCGCTTTCCTGGTGTCAAAATACCTTTCAGGTTTTGGTTTTGGAACGCCGCCAGAAATATTTTAACACAAACAACAGCAAAGGATATGCTTCAATACGGTTCTTGTTTCATATTGAAATTCCATGTACCAACTGGTTTTTTTACGATGGTGAAGTTAGGTCAAATTTGCCATTTTTGAAAAGTGCTGAAACCGTCTTTCTTCTTGGGGCCAGTACAGTCACATTTAAACGGTTTATTAAAAGTTAATTGCTGAATTATAAAGTAAAAATGTGTGCCTGTTTTGTGACTGGATTTCATCTAGAGATATTATTCTGTTTTATGTACGAGCGCGAAGAAAATGCTCAATTTTCGCCAATTTCATACTCGAAAGAGCGCCGATTTAGAGTTTTTCAAACTTCGCCTGATTCCTGAAAAAATAAAAAGCTGTTACAAGTTTTGAAATTAGTGTACTATAGAAATTATTTGGGCGAAATATGAAAAAATTTTAAAATTCATGACTGTCAACCGATTCTCGAAAATTACAGACACTGGCTCTTAAGATCCCAGTCATATTTCACAATCTCTGAGGTTATGAACTGTATTCCAAATAATACGGAAAAGTAGGCCTTCATTCTTGGCAAACATCTAGTTTTTCTGGACAGTTTCTAATTTATGGCTAGCAGTTTGGAGCGCCTTGCTGCTAATCTACCCGTGGGTGCATTCAAATATACCAGCCCAGTGTTCCAAGATGAGGAATTAGCTCTATGAAACAAAAAGGAGTATATCCTTATGATTAGATGGATATTTTTAATAAGTTTGGCGACCACCAAACGATGCTTTCTACAGTATATTTACAGACGAGGTCATCTCTGATGAGCAATAGAATCATGCCCAAAATGTATGGAATACTTTTCATATGAAGACAATGGGCGACTACCATTATCTAAATCTTAAGAGTGATATTCTCCTGCTGGCGGATGTATTTGAGAACTTCCGTAAGACATGCTTACAGTACTATAAATTAGACTCCTCTCACTATTTCACATCTCCTGGCTTGAGTTGGGATGCTATGTTGAAAAAAAAAATAAAATTGGAGCTTATGACTGATGTGGATATGTTCCAGTTTATAGAAAAAGGCATGTGCGGTGGTATTTCCTATATCGCTAACCGGCCTATAATACGTGGCTGTTTATGACAGCAGTAAGTCCAGCAAGTATATTTTGTATCTAGGCGCTAATAATCTTTATGGCTGGGCTATGAGTCAATGCCTGCCAACAGGTGGATTCAGACGGCTAACACAAAAGCAGATAGATAAGGTTAATCTAGCTGCATGTACATATGACAGAAAAAAGGGTATGATCCTAGAAGTAGATTTAGAATATCCCTTCGAATTACATGATCTACACAATGATTATCCCGTAGCTGCGGGCGAAAATGAAGGTGACCAAAGAGATGCTTTCTCCGTACTGTAAAAATATACAGGAAAAGTTTGGCATTTCCATTGGCCAGGTAGCAAAACTGGTCTTAACTCTGGCTGATAAGAAGAACTATGTATTACATTACAGAAATATGCAATTATATTTATCTCTTGCTTTGAAACTAAAGAAAGTACACAGGGTTTTCGAATTTGACCAGAGCCCATGGTTGGGGCAATACATTGATTACAATACAAAGAAACGCATGAATGCGCAGAACAGTTTTGAGAAAGACTTTTTCAAATTGATGAATAACAGTGTATTCGGCAAAACCATGGAGAATTTATGTAAGCGCGTTGTATTTGTATTTGTATTTTTACTGCAACCTATAACATATTAGTTGTACAATAATACAATAGTTGTACAATATCAATACATTAGTTGTACAATACCAACTGGGACAAAGTTGCTTAAACTACTTGTACATAATAATAATAATAAAAGAAGAAAATTGGAATGGAGAAGGGCACATTATAGTAAAACTAATCATGGCCCTTTAACAAGATTGACTTTATTCTTTTGCAGTTTTGTTATTACGTAAGCGCGTTAATGTGAGACTAGTGACAAATCAAAAGAAGTTGTCTAAATTAGTATCCAAGCCGATGTATGTTAATAGTAAAATCTTCAACGAGGATCTAGTAGCAGAACATAAGATCAAAGAAGTGTTGACCCTTGATCGGCCAGCTTTATGTTGGTATGTGCATTCTGGATCTATGAAAGACACTAATGTATGACTTTCACTATAATTACATTAGACAAAAATACAATACATATTTTTGTGCCGCAAATAAAAAAGTAATTGGCAAGATGAAAGATGAGGCTGCTGGTATTCCACTCACTGAATTTGTCGGGCTCAGACGTAAGATGCACAGTTTTGTAAGAGATAATGATAAAGATAGACAAGAAGTAAAGACGGCCAAGGGCAAAACAAAGTATGTTATCAAAAAGAATATCCAACATGAGGATTATAAAGATACACTCCAGAATAATAAACAAATATTCCATTCCATGAATACTATACGCAGTGTTGCGCATCAATTAGGTAGCTATGAATTAAACAAGATATCGATGCCTTTGCCATATATTTCGCCGTTATAGTGTCTGTATATCCCTCTCGTGCCGCGGATTTATTAGCTTATCAACAGTTGATTGAAAGTTGATGTTGGTTAATCGAAAGTTCCCTGGGATGGCTTGGTATGTCTATGATGTGGAATTCCGAAGGCGTGCCTCCCACAACCTTTCTGCCAAGTGGGGGGAACGGGACGTCCAGCTCTACCTCGATACCTTCACAGGCCTCCCCAACTCGGGATGCCGATCTTGCGGCAGCACTGATCATCTTTCTGATACCTGCCCTTTATCTCCTCGTAGGTCCCGGGATGCCCTTACCCAATCCGACCTGTGTTACAACTTTAACAAAGGCCGACCCTGTGCTCGCACCCCATGCCCTTACCAACACAGGTGTAACCAGCCGGGATCCTCAGCAGCTCACTCTGGGGAAGATCACACTAAACTCACCCGCCACAGAGAGGACAGACCTAAATCGTCTTCAAGCTCTGGCAATTCCTCCCGAGGACACTCCTAATTACCTCTCCCAACTGACCCCTCCCACACCCATTGATATCAACAAATTTGCATCCTATCTTCAGGGCCATCCAGATCATACAACAGTTAATCATCTTCTCACCGGGTTTTCTCAGGGCTTTAAGATTGGCTATTCAGGTCCAAGGGCCCCCAAAGAATATTCTAACCTTCCCTGTGCAAATATCAACCCATCTATTATTGACAAAAACATGCTAAAAGAGGTTACCCTGGGCCACACAGCAGGGCCTTTTCACATCCCTCCCTTCTCCAACCTGCAGGTATACCCCATTGGGGTCATTCCCAAGAAACACTCTTCGGAATGGCGTACCATTTTCCATCTCTCCTACCCCAAACACCGCCCCACCAGTGTCACCACATTCCTCCCGAATCCTATTCTTCGCAACACATAAAGGTAGACCACGCAATTGCCATTCTTCAGGATCTCGGTCCAGGATGCTTCATGTCCAAACTAGACATAAAATCAGCATTTCGCAATGTTCCCGTCCACCCCTCTGATTGGGAACTTCTGGGTATGAAATGGGAAGGGCTCTATTTCTTCGATATGGTCCTCCCGTTCGGTCTCAGGTCGGCCCCCTTCCTGTTTGATGAATTCTCTTCTGCGGTTGAATGGATTATTCAAACTAAACTTAATATCCCAAAGGTTATCCACATACTAGATGATTTTTTTTTTGCTACCTCCCCTCCCAGATCAAAATGCATGACTGTTCTATGCCAAATTTTGCACCTTTTTACAGATCTAAATATCCCCATAGCTCCTGGGAAAACCTTCCCTGCATGCACATGCCTTGAATTTATGGGTATTCTACTAGATTCCAATAAAATGGAAGTCCGTCTCCCGGTGGATAAACTCACCCGCATTCAGGAAGCCCTTGGTCAGTGGACTACTAGGAAATCTGCTACCTTACAGGAGCTACAGTCTCTGATTGGCACCCTTCAATTTGCTTGTAAGGTTATTGCCCCTGGCCGCCCCTTCTTGCAACGCATTATCCACCTTATAAAGGGTATCAAGTTCCCCCATTGGCATATTCGCCTTAATTCCGGTTTCCTCAAGGACATCTTTATGTGGCAGCATTTTCTCCAAAATTGGAATGGGGTGTCTCTCTTTTTAGATACCCAGGCCACCTCTCCGCCGGAGCTTCAGCTATACACTGATGCTTCTGGTTCCCTTGGGTATGGGGGTTTCTTAGCAGGAGAATGGTTCCAGGGCCACTGGCTCCCCCACCACACCCTCAGCCAAAAAAGGGGTATTAGTATTGAATGGCAGGAGCTGTTTCCCATATACTTGGCCTGTATTTTATGGGGTCCCCGCTGGTCCGGCAAAAGAATCCACATCTGGTGTGACAACAAGTCAGTGGTGGCTAGCATAAACTCTAAACACTGGACCTTATTCGAGCAATCACACTTCAAACGCTCCAATATAACTTCGCATTCACAGCTACTCACATCCCGGGCTTAGACAATTCTATCGCTGATTCCCTTTCCCGTTTTCAGATGGACCGCTTCCGTACCCTGGCTCCCTCAGCCTCCACCATCCCTCCATCAGCGATGAACATCTGAGAGGTTCTGTACAGCGATACCTTCATGCCTCCCTTGCCCCTTCCACTCGACGCACCTATCAAGTTGGCATTAAGCAATTCCTCACCTTTACACTCATGCATGGTTTAGTAGGCTCCTCAAACCCCCTCCTACCAGCCTCAGAGATAACCTTGATGTATTTTGCATCTCATTTAGCCAACACAGTATCCTATGAAACAGTCAAGCTGTACTTGGTGGCAGTGCAGGACCTTCATCGGGAGCTTAACTTTCCTCTTAAGCTCAATGACATGCATAGGTTACAAAAGGTCCTGACAGGCATTAAGCGCCTCACACCAACCAAGCGTTGACCGTTTTCCCATTACCCTTACAGTTCTCCATTCCATTCACTCCTACCTTAAGCCCGAAATTTCCTATAACCTGGACCATGCTATGCTTTGGGCGGCCTTCACCCTTGCCTTTTTTGGGTTTTTAAGATCCAGTGAATTCACTTGCAATGGCCCCTTCGACCCCTCTGTCCACCTCACTTCCAAGGACATCACACTGGTACCCAACTCCCACTCACCCAGCCACATGCTAGTCCACATAAAAAAATCCAAAAGTGACCCCTTCAGACAGGGCCACACAATCACCATTGCAAAGTCCTCGTCACCTATCTGTTCGGTGATGGCCATGAAAGACTATCTCCTTCAAGTCCAGCCACCATCCAGCCACCCTCTGTTCGCCTTCGTCCAACCCAGACAATGGCTTACACGAAACAATCTCACAACAGAGCTTAGGTCAATTCTTCAACACTGTGGTCTCCCTGCCAACAATTTCTACTCCCACAGTTTCCGTATTGGAGCCCCCACCACAGCAGCTAAAGTTGGCCTTCCACCCTGGCTTATTAAAGTTCTAGGCTGCTGGAGCTCAAACTGTTATGAACGCTATATAAGGACCCCTAAATGTACTTGGCTTGTCAGTGTTAGCAGGTCTTGCTAGTGAAGGCGCCAGTCAATTGGTAAAAAAGATGCCTGGAGGTATCTTACTGAGGGATGTTGTAGGCGCTGAACAAACTTTAGCACAGCATTAAGATAGATGTCTGGAGGTCAAGTAGGAGGCTTTTGAATCCCACAGAGTAAAATCAATGAGTTGATTGCGTATAAACACCTTCTATCCGCAACACAGAAGCAGGATATTCTTAATGCTCTTCAAGCAGGTTCAGGTGTTCGTATAAAACCAACCAAAACACAGCTTGGCAACGGCCTTGGGGCAATTCTACAATCCTGGCCAAAAGTCCTTGGGACAGTACTGCAATATTCATATTTTTCTGTCATTTTTCGGTTCCCTCTTAAAACAGTGCATCTTTTTGGAAACCCTGGGGCCCAATTCACCCTTCAAAAATATACTAGTCTTAGGAACCATAGTGTAAAACCCAAATTCCACAAAAATATCACAATGAGTAATCATGATCTGTTAGAATGGTGCAGATATTTGAATATACCTATGAAAGATGTGCTGCCTAGGGATCAAACTCTTAAAAATCACCCATATAACCACAAGAAAGCATTACTTATTTAAACTTGGCCATCTTATATGAATGGGTCTCACTGGGTCGCCACATATGTTAAAAACAATACGATCAATTATTTTGACAGTTTTGTGATGCCTGCTTTCCAGGAAATTGTTGATCATGCTAGAAGCAAGAATCTGACACTCCTACACCAGCACAACCAGATAGAAAATATACTGACAACTACTTGTGGGTACTTCTTTTTGTACTTTTTCAAAGAAATGAATAACGGTACAACATATTATGATCTGTTAAGAGTATTTAACATCCAAAATACAATGAAGAATGAGCGGTTCATAGAGAAGTATTTCAAAATAGAGTAATCGATATATATTTATATATGAATAAATTCTGTGTATATTGCCAAGAAATTACTCCACATTATGTGAATGAATATGGATGCCTAGAATGTTGTAACTGCGAACCACTAAGTAGCAGTGAAAGTGAAGATAAGTCGGATAGCTCTGGCGGTGATCCAACTTATGTTCCAGACTCTTGTGATTATGATAGTGAATAAATTTACATACTGTATAGTAGCGTTAATAATTGGGCTATACTAGGGTAAGGGGGTTTATGCCTCCACTTTTATATACACATATAGTATCTAGAAATGGCAAACAGGTTGCGTGCCGGACAGTGAAACCACTGTTAGAGCAAAGAATGGCCGGCTGATGATGAAATGCAAATGTGCCTCTTGTGGAATTACTAAGACTAAATTCATAAAGGGAAACTAATGGGGCCCTCACTAGCTGAGGGCGATTTATTTGACACCGCTGTACGAACTTCTACTAATCTATTTGTAGATCATGCCCTACCTTATATGGCAAAAAAGAGTGTAGAAATGGCAAGATATTATGGTTCCAAAGCTCTGAGAAATAAAAATTTACAGAAGAAGGCTATAAATTATGGACTGAAAAAGCTCACTACTGTGTTACAAAAAGTTGGGCCTGAAGCTCTTGATCAATTGTCAACAAAAATTAGGCCAAATAAAAACTAGAAAATTGACAGAAAGAATTTGGATGGCGGATCTATACAACAATTTATTGACCAATTGAGTGGAATAGCAAATGACCCAAAAAAGGTAAAGGCGTATCAAAAACAATTAGCTAAATATGCTTGGGAACAAGCTAAAATCTTTGGCTATCGGCTAAACCCAGGGCAGTTAGGAATTGCGCCAATGTTCCCCAATATTGTGCCAGTGAAAGGTACCACTAATTTAAAGCCAGCACGAATTATGAAGGCAACTCCAGGATCGGCACTGATAGCACCTACAGGATCTGGTATTATTGATAAAGCCAACGAGAAGGGAACAACTAGTCTTGCAAAAGGAGGTATCGCAGGGGGGCCTTATCGTATAGACTATGAAAAAGGCATAGAATTGTTAAAAGATCCAGACCTGTGGAAAAAACCCTCCAGGAAAGAAATTGCTGATATGAAGCCACGTGTGGCCGCCTTGAAAAGATCTTATACTGCTGTAAAAACATTGGGCTTCAAGGGATCGTACACCAGCTTTGCAAAAAAGATTGGAGCTGTTCATAAGCCCTCTTATACGTTTCCTGGATTTGGAGGTGGAATAGACATTCATAAGGCCATAGGCAAATTACCAAAACCTAAGGGCAGACGGACATTGCCAGGGCATAAATACACCAGTCCATACAACGATTTGGAAAACCGAGTATGGTATAATAAAGATGGCGAAATAATACATGTATTCGATAAACCAACAGGAAAAACAGATGCCGTGGCCATGCAGCATGACATTGATTGTTCGATCTGTGGTGATGATAAAAAGTCCAAACATGAAGCTGACCGTAAGATGGTAAAATCACTTGACGCCATACCAAAGAAAGAAAGACAATGGCGCTACTGGTTAGCCAGAAATGTAATCAATACAAAACAGGAAATCGCACTTGGTGTTTCAAAAACGGAAAGAGCCGTCGAGTTGGCAACAGCAATTGGCAGATGAACTACATAAGCCTATAAAGCATAACTTTACTCGGCGGTGTGTTATTGCAAACGGTATCGACAAAATTTGGTGCTCTGATCTGGTTGAAATGCAACAATTCAGCAAATGGAACAAGGGTTATAGATATCTTCTGATGGTGCTAGATCTGTTCTCCAAATATGGCTGGATTATTCCGTTGAAGAATAAAAAGGAAGAACTGTCACACAAGCCTTCAAAACCATCTTTGAAGAGGACCGTGAGCCACAATATCTTTGGACTGATAAAGGGACAGAATATTATAACAAAAAACCTGAAAGACCTATTACAAAAGCATAACATAACATTATACTCAACCGAGAATGAAGAAAAGTCCTCTGTTTGTAAAAGATGGAACAGAACAATCATAACCAAGATGCGGAAGGAATTTACTGTCCAGGGTAATACAGTGTATTTAGACATACTACCAAAAAATACTAAAGCAGTATGATAATAGTGCGCACAGTTCCATTAAAATGACACCTGTAGAAGCCAGTAGAAAGAAGAATGAAAGTATCGTATATTTTAACCTATATCGTGATATGGAGCAATTGGCATCTAAACGCAGGTTCAAGGTTGGTGATAAAGTTAGGATAAGTAAATACAAAACAAAGGTGTTTGACAAAGGCTACACACCCAATTAGACTGAAGAGATATTTCTGGTCAATAATATCCAATCCACAAATCCAATTACCGGCAGATTAAAAGATCTTAACAATGAGGAGAAACAAGGGAGCTTTTATGAACCTGAATTACTGAAAGCAAACCAAAATATATTCCACATTGATAAAGTCATTCGAAGAGACCATAAGAAGAAACAAGCTCTTTGTAATCTTGAAAGTGATAGGTCCAGCAAAATCTACTTATGTAGTTTCAAAGGGTCTGCTGGCTTCCACGCGGAAACTGTGGCATGTCTGTTGTTGCTGTAGTTCCATAAGGTTTCACTTTCGACCTTAGTTTCGGAATCCACTATTCTTTTCTTATTTCTGCCATGGTGTTGGCCACTCCCAAATGTTTGATCTCTGAGTGAACATGTCGGATTAACTTCTGTGTCAGTAGGCAATCTTCGAGGTAAGTTGGTCTGTAACCAGGAATCCTTCCAACGCACTTTAGTACGCCAATTTCTTTATCTTTTACCAACCTTCACCCTGGTGTCTCTGTATCTTGTGTAATTCTTCTCTGCGCTCTTCTTATCCAAAGTTCTTTGGCTTGTTAAATTTCGTCAGTACACAACACTCCTCTCTGCTTCCTTCTCATCTGTCTCTTTGCCAGCGAGTTATCTTTGAATCTTATGACCCAGGCAGCGAGTTTCAGTACACTCCAGTACATTTTGCCTTCCAGCAACTTACCGAACTCGTCAGGCTCAAATTCCCTAGTGCTTGCTATGACCTATTTCAGTGGCTTTTTTCCTCGCTTGCCTCCGTTTATGTGCTACTGTTGGTTGTTCTGGCCAATTTTCTTCATGCTGTAACCACCCAGGTCCAGAGAATCAATCACCTTTCTCCATCTTGACTACTGACGCACCTCTACCTTCTGACTCGACTTGCCACAAACACCGTCCAATTAATTCCAGGATTCATCACCCAATGGAGCACCACTGTACTGTCCATCTATATGGTGATGGAAACAACTGGCCACCTTGTTAGAGCTTGTTGTACCTTTTTGGCCATGTTTTCTGCCATTTGTCCTGCCATCAGCTCTAGTCTGGACATCTTAGTATTTCCTTTGGAGATTTTTCACTTCGAGGCCAGTAGTCCTTGCACTGTGTCAGTATCTTGCATAGCTAGGGCTATTGTTGTTGCAGAAAGGTCATCAGCAAAAAGATGGAGATAAATAGATTTGACCTCATTACACTGTCTCACAAGGCTTCTAGGGACCTTTACACTTCGGAGTTGAGCTATCCATTACAACCATGCTATCCCAAGCCTTTCAGACACCACTACATTCCACCCCAATTTGTCATCACAGGCTTCTCTATTGACGTGTTTGCCCTGGGCCATGGTAGGGGATAGGATGCCTAGCGGATCACACACTTTTCCAAGGAGACTCAGGATGGTTTTCTTTATGATGGGCGTATCCTTACTGAATGGCGGAATCTTGATTTCTAAGGTGTCGTCTTCATTGTCCCAAATCTGTCCTAGTATTTTGCTGGGGTTTAGCATGTTCTGATCTTCCAACTCTTTTATAATTTACTCCCACTTGTGCACTTTGAACTTGGCACCTTCTAGTATGTGAGTAGTTTCTTCTTTAAACTTCTTTGTTTCCTCAACCTCTCCTCCTGTCTTCATAAGGTTGTCTGCGTAAGTGTTGGTTCTCAACTCTTCTACCGTCTCCACAAACTCTTCCGGCTGTTGATCAATGCGGTACCTCAGAGTGGCTCCTAAAATGAAAGGACCGGCTTCTGCACCAAATGGCACTCTTGCAAATTGCAGATGCTCCTCTTTCCTGTGTAATGTAAAAAGAAACTGAAAAGCGTCACTGTGTTCCTCTTTTATTCCGATTTGTAGGAATGCATTCTTGATACCTCCCAGCAGTAGGGTCTCAGACATTCTTGATCTAATTATTGTGTCCCAAAAAAGGGGTTGGAGGGACGGGCCAGTGTACATGCTTTTGTTTATGCTTGCAGCTAGAGGATGAGGTTTGGCACTGGCCTCAAACTCCATTCTCACTTTCATTGTGACAGCTTCTTTTCGAGCTATTGAACACAAATATCGCAAATGTAAAAATATCAACATTCTCAATGCTTGATGATTATATATAGTAACTCGTTGTTAATGGTAACAGTTAATGAGTTCCAAAGTTCTTAAAGTCCCAATTCATTTTTCAAATACGGTAAAATCTATCGTTTTACAATAGTCACTTGACTCTCTTCTGAAGAAGCTTTGGCTATCTGAGTGATTTCCACCATGGATTACCCAGCCAAAGGTCGCCCCTTTCACAATTGCTTCTCTCGGCTGTCCGTTCTATACTTCTTCGCTTCTTATTTAACAATAGGTACTGTCTTCTACTAAAAAAATGTGTTATTGTCTTTGGTATGTTCGTACTTGCTCCTTCAACTTGTTTATGTCTGGTCTTCGTGCGGTTGTAAAGTCTCGCAACTTTGTTCCAGTTACCTGAATATTCTCACTCGCTTTTCCACCCAGTGACTCAATTGAGAGGTTAAAGATGGGCATAGATTGTCTCTTTGCGCCGTTTATGGTGAGGATCTCCTGTACTTCGTGACGTTCAGGTTTGAGGTTCAACCTTTTGGCCGCTTCGCTTATAATGAAATTTCTCTCAATTCCAGTGCCCAGGTATTCCCAAAAAGTTTCTCCTTTTATCTTTACAGGTAATATGGCGGGCAATGACCATTCATTAATTGAAGGAGAATATCTTGACGGTTCTGATGTCACCAGGTTGTCTATACCTAGCCTTGTCACAAAGACTTGTATGATGCCTTGACTTGCACTTGAAAAATCCTTGGCTGCGACATTGTTTCCCCCCTGTGTCTTGCGGATCACAGTTGAAACAATGTACTCTTGGAAGAACTATCTTCTTGCTTCCACTGATTTTGACCTTGCATGCGTCTCCCCTATGCTTTCCCTCACAAAAGATACAGACTGGGTGTCCCTTTTCTCTGTTATACCAATGCTTCTCCTTTTTCGGTCACACGCCTCCACTGTCGCCAGGTGCAACATCAACTTTATGTCTTTTCAACCACTACTGCAGATTGTCGAGTAAGTCAGTCATGGTCCATTTCTCCCAGTCATCACCTGTCCTCACAATGTCAGGCTCTACATGAAGCAACTTCTTGATTGTGGTCATAACGAGCCCTCTCAGCATCTCTGCCTCCCCCAGGGTCTGTGGGGCATCATGGTTTTTGCTCAGTCTCTCATAGCATTTGTTCACTCTGTCGTCATTTGTCCTCTTAATGACTGGCAGATTAATGATCTCGTCCATATGGGCGTTAACTAGGAGTTTTTTTTCGCCAAATTCCTTTTCCAACCTCTCCCATGCCGTCTTATTAACTACTGTACTAGGTTTTAGGTTTGAAATTCTTTCTCTCACTTCTGGCGAGACCATCTTCAAAAGATATCCAAATCTCTCTTCGTCTGATATTGGTTTCGCGTCCACTTGTGTCTTGAACATGTTTTCGAACCGCACCCAGTCAGATGCTGTTCTTTTGAAAGGAGTAATGCTCAGCTTCGGAAGCTTCTCGTGCGTTGTCTTCGCAGCCATTTCCATTTCCAATCTCCTTTCTGTCATTCGCAATTCAGCTTAGAATGATTCGTTATCGTTGTCTATCTTGATTTAATTGCTCTTCCCGTTTTCGTCTTCTCTGCCACTCACGCTATTCTCTCAAATCGTTGATTTCTTTTTGTCTTACATTTAGGGCTTCCGATGACCGCATAACCTGTTCTTCTGATTAATCCACCTCGAATGCATGGCTTTCATCTCCTTTCCATTTCCGAACCGTACGAGGCGATGTTCCTTGGCCAAATTTGATGTCCTCCAGCTGTGAAATAAGATCTGATATCTTATCCGTGATGTTTGTTGAGAGTTTCACTACTATTTCCATCTCTGAAGTCTTCATTTTCTCTGTAGCCTTTTCGTGTCGAATTTCGGCTTTTGATTTCTCCATTTCTGTTTCAGTTCCTTCCATGATTACACAACACTTCGACCATGTAGTGTGTGACTCCTAAATTCCTGTGTTCCTAATCTCTGCCTCTTGAGTTGCTGTTTCTGCCGTTCCACGGTCGAAATCCTCGTCTCTACTTTTTGTACTGAACTTGTGGGGCACAAAATAACTCACTTAAATCAAAAATCCTATTTTTATTGAAATAACCATCGGCTCGTACATTTTCCTCTCAAACGGATCACAACAAAGTAATTTTCCAACACTCTATTCGTCAGCTACTTCGATTTCAAATGTCAATCAAGAAAAAGATAACACTAACGCAATGCTAAAATAGTCACATCCGGTTTAAATGAGTTTCACAACATTTCCAGCCACGTTCCGGTCAAATCTACATTTTCCCAAGTTAGCCTAACCAGTTTTTTCCATATGTGGTAATCAACACTAACTTAGGCTATTCACCATATTCACATAGACCATAATGCACCTTGTTTATCCCCCAAAAGTTTGCATAACCATCGGTTCCAATTTCTCCTGGGTATTCCAGTTGTCCAAAGAGAAATCGAAGACAATGGTTATGCAATTTTTTTTTCGGGGAGGGGGGGGGGTAAACAAGGTGCAGTATGGTCTAAGTGAAAACGGTGAATTTAGGTTCTTAAATGGGTTCTTATTTTATGAAGAAAAAATACATTGCAGTTGAGCGGGAGTTGAGACAATGTAGTGATTGTTGCTCTAATCAGCTATTTCTTATCAGTATCAATTCATCAAATCTGTGTACAAACAAGACACTCTTAAAGTGTTAACTCGAGGTTGCTTGGAGATTAGATAAAGAATGAGGAGGAGATAAATTCTTAAGGAGCCAGTGTGTAGGCTTACTTTACACAGTAACTACTGACTGCCTTATGGTACATAGAATAGTCAGACTAAACTTAACTGGAAAAAGATAATCCTTCAATCGTTACAGTTTATAAATCTAATATCGCCTATGTCTAGGCAATAATGCCATATTATCTCAAGCAATCGTCCGCAATCAAAGACAATACCACAAGGCAAAGATCAAGACCTTGCAAATCTACGACGTCAAGGAAACATTAATGAAGGCGTCTGAGTATGAAAAATAGGTATACATTTCCCATACTAGAGAACTACGAAAATAAATGGACTAGTTCAATTTGTAGAGTAGTAGTTTCCACTGGCCGATGAGGTGCTGAAAGTAGACTGCGTGACAGTCAAGTACAAAGCTACCCTTATAAACACATCCATGACACATACGTAACATCAGACCAGTAGTTGAAGTTGCTTCTAGTAGTTGAAGGTTAAAAATCATTGATATCTCAAGTATTTCTTAGGTGCAATGCGACTTCACATGTTAACAACTGCGAAAATCTATCAAATAAATACATACAACAAAGTGAGTCTGCAATATCGAATCTACTTAATCGTAGAGTTCCAGTAATTGCATCAATACTTGAGAAACTTAATACACCATACACCACCATGGTGTACCTCCATACACCACGAAAAAGGATTTCCTCCGCTATATTTTCATGTCCTACTACGCGTGTATGAATACACGAAAATCAAGGGCCAGGGAAAATTACATCATTGCCAAAAAGCCTGAACGTGATCAACGACGCGCATCACCTCAATCATCGCCGAAAATAAACCACCTGCTCATCACGAGTCTCATTTACGTACAATGAAAGTCATCACGATTCTTATTCCCAGTTTCCACGGGCGCCGCTAGGAATGCCTGGAAGCCCAACCTACCTTTTGTGTCCTAAATACGAAGAGGAAAAATGGCCCTGGGGCTCCTGCTTGCAGATTACGACTCTCGGTGCTAGGCAACCTCGAGTAACAAGAACCCATAATGGGGGTTTCACTGGGCTATTGACTTTGCGATGCAGCATGATGCAGTGGTTTATTACTCTGGAAAGTATAGATTATAATCATACACTTTTTTTGGTTTGAGTGTATAACTACTCCTATCCCACGGAATGGGATATATATATATACTATATATATATATATATACTGACATTTAAAGTAGTATGAAAAAACTCCATGTAAGAAAGGTGTTTTCCTTCAAAGTCCGTTTGCAAGATATTAGTTTACGAAATACGTTTTCGCACTTACATCAAGCAAAATTGGTACCAGGATGTACAGTAACTTCTACCATTACGGATAAAATTAGGCAAGTTGGCCTTTTGAAACAAGAAACGATTGGCATTATTTTTAACTGGGACATTTCCACAATGCAAAAAGGAGGAAGTACAATTGCCAAAACGATCCACAACGACCAAAATGACCCACACTGATCAACACAATGACCCAGGAAAACGACCCGCAACGACCAACCCAAATCAAAAAAAGACCAACAGTACCTGTAGTGTCATCATGCAAACCATGCAACGCTCATGGGAGTGAGAAGACAGTCGAGCAAAAGCAAACTCAGATTTCGCTTGTTACCGACTTTTTTAAGTTTTTTTTTTACAAACAGATCATGTAGACCATCTCTCACTTCTGTCATAAAAGTCTAAAAGGCGGACCTGTTTTGCCTCATTTTGGGTCGTTTTGGCTAGTTCTTAACAATTACGGATTTATAATCACGTTTAGAAAGGCAAACACTTATCATAAGGTTTAAACTTCAACGTAGAGTGAAGAAAAACCTTCAACGAAACTCATCGTATTATATAAGGAAGCAAGGATGTAATATGACAATTTTGTTCAGGGGACTACAACATATTTAATTTGCTCAGTTCATGCTTACTGTATTCCACAATGGTAATCCAGTAATAAATAATAAATAGAAATAAATACACAAAAACCTTGAATTACGTTTTGAATCAAAATGTGAACGTGACAAAACGAGCAAGTTTCAAAACATTCGCTAAAAGTATCGTGGACAGTTTATGCTTACTGTAGCAGTATAAATGAAACATAATCAATTATGATTGCCGCGATTAATCATCAATGCGCCATACGGCCACTCTTAAGTGGCACGCTTAAGTGGCCTTTGCCGTTTTAGAGGGGTGGCTGTTGCAGCGAGCTTTAACAAAGAGTCATTGTATGGACTGTTTGCCGGCACCAAAAAAGTGGCTGTTGTAGAGAGGTGGCTGCCAGTGGAGGTTGGACTGTGTAGGACAAATATCTTCACGCAAGTATATTAGTTTTCGGTATCTCTGTTTGCAAGATTTTGTTTTGAAATAACCCACGCTCCCCTCAATAATTGAAAAAGCTGCCCCATCGTAAGGGGGAACGTAACGTGATCCGTCTGCCATTTCAAATTTAAGGATAAACAGGTCCCTATAAAACTAGGCTCTCATACCACGCGACAAAATTGTCGAGATATTTAGGCCCCACCCAAAGTTGGCTCAATTGTTGTTTCCTACAAGTAGAATGAAAATTGGCACCGAAGAACCCTTGCTCTCTCCTTTTTAAAGTAGAAAGAGTCAGCAAAAGTAAACGTGATAAAGGTCGTTGAAGACAACTTGTCTCAACTAATTTTGTTGCCGATAATAGGTCATGCACTATATTGGTAAAACTACCTTTTCTCTTTTCCGAAACGAGAGATACCATTCTTCGGCAAGCATCCTAGAAACGTCAGACAATAATGTGTTGTTACCAGAGTTGCACTGCCAGTTTGTAATTCGATTGACGTCAATCTCACACCTTGAAGGATTAACTTCAATGCCTTCAGTACTTTCTTCTTTTGGGTCAAATGGCAGGCCTAAGAGATATTTCTTCAAACTAGTTTTCCCAGCACGATCCTGACCGATTAGAAAGACTCTACCACGGTAGACATGCACATATCCACCTGTCAGTGCCTTGTGATAGACCACGGTTGCCTCAACTCCTCGGGCCAAAATTTCTGCTGGAGCTGGCGCTATAATACAGAAATTGAATAGAAACAAACGGGGTATATCGTTAATACACTCTTTTTTATTTTAAAAAGCGTTCAAGGGTGTTATGGAAAAGCATACTAGCCCAAAACTGGTTGTTGCTGTTGTTGTTGTTCTCCTTGTTTATTTTTATTTTATTAGCTTAGCCAACATAATATAAATACATAAGGGTAATCAAACAAAATAACAAAGAAAAAGCGGCAGAGATTCCACAACAGCGTGAGCCAGTTACTGCGGGCCCAGAAAATTAAAACAACAAAAGAATAGTTAAAATACATAGTCACAAAATTAAAAGCAACTCGAGACAGGCTGGGCAAGACTACGACACTTATTACATTTCATCTAAGTTTGAAACCAAAGCGAGTTGAATATGGGTGAATCTTTGTGGTAGTAGACGAATGAGCACTGTACCATATCAAATTTCTCCTGTAAAGTACTCCTGTACTAAAATACACTCTTCAGTCATTTGCCAATCGTCTTCCTCGCAGTAAACGCATTGTCAAAATGTTTCAATAGTAGTAACACGTCGCGCCTGGTTTCTATAAGTCAAATCGTAAACCAGTCATCTCCAATGGAATATTATGATAATAATAACATGTAAGACGCTGATCTGTCAAACGTTTCTTTCAAAAGGATATTTATCTGTGGCAACTGGGTTGCTGGCTCACTCAAGGGAAACGTACCTGCCATGAAAGCCGATAAGGTTTCCACATTCATGCCAGTTTTTGCTGACACTTCCAAAAACGGGATGCCTAAGGTTTTTGCAAAAGCCTCCGCGTCCTTCGAAAACAAGAATAAACAAGACGCTGTGGGAGCGTATATTTGGGCGTGGTTGTACTACGCGTATGATACTTTTAACATGCCTTATTGCAGCTAAACAACTGTCATCATATCCCACCAGAGAAAATAAATCCTTTACTCTACTTCTTTGCTGAACCACACAGCTAATACAGTATGTTCCAATCCACAACGAAAATCCTGTCGCTTCATGATAATGTTTTGAAATGCACATCTTCAACACAGAGTTGCTCTCAGCCAAAATGCAACATAGGACACCAGTGCTCACAGCCCGGACAGTAAGGTTTATCTCAGCTCTACTGATACTCACACTTTGAGGAAGACCGACAGGCATGATATATCTTTTCACACCCATCACATTGTACCGTTTATTTCAGTTCCTAAAAAGGGCAGATACAGTTCCTCAAGTCCAGTATCCACAAGGATTAATAACAGAGTACATTGCATTAACTGCTATAGTGCAGCACTGTTTGCAGGAACATTAAAAACTATTAACATTTCATATACTACAACATTCAACACTGCTTGAGAAAAGATCAACTTCAAAGTTGGCAATATGCACACCTTTGAGGTGGCTCGATACAGTTTTTCAGTGTGTCAATACCTCCCAAGTTTGAGCATAAACTACGTCGCCATAAACAAAGTTTTGGAAAAATTGCCACCACGTACAGTTGTATTAGATAAAGATAAAAATTTGCTATGATCAGGGTTGCAACGGCATCGGAGTTGTCATAGCAACGAAATGACGCTATTACCTACTACACTTGCAGCAGTATATCTGGGCACTGGGACTGTTCTTCGAAAATTGTTCACAGGAGCTTTTTCCTCCAATAGCGGCCTCGATGTTCGTGAAGTTTAAGCGAAATCTGTGAGAGCGTTATCGAGATGAAGTTTTTATGGCTAGATACACAGTAAAAAATGGACAATATTGTTATATTATTGAGGCATTGTCTCCAAGTTTCATTTTTCACGTGAACAGCAGTAACTAAAAATGCATTTGACATATGCAAAAATGCTAGCTATTGTTGTGCACGAAAATATGAAACTTGAAGACAATACCCTGAATAATGAGAGGCTCACACTTGTAAACACAAAATTTCAGCCAAAATATTAGCGAATTGTAGGCCTTATTTTACTGCCTTACAATATATCAATAATCTTGAAACTAAAAGGTCATATAAAAGGAAGGTTAATCTTAAGAATCTTAAATTTTAAAAAAAATCTATCGAGCGGTTTAAAAACTATTTGCTAGTTTGTTAAAGTAAACCAAAATACTCAAAAACCGCTAAAAAGAGCGCCTGGATACATATTAATCAAATCTTTCTCTCTAGTAATCGGCTAGAGCTATCTCCACGATCTTTCACACATGTTTTCAAAAAGATTGAAACTACTGTGAGGTGAAACTGCATGTCAAAAGCGCTTCGTTTTCTACAAATAACAGCCGAACATAGAGATTGTCCATTTTTTACCGCATTTCTAACACAAAATCTTTATCCCAAAATATCTCGATAACGCTCTTACAGATCAAGGCGATTATTGGAGGAAAAAGCCTCCGTTAATGATTTTGGAAGAACAGTTCCCAGTGCCGATATATACTGCTGTAAGTAAAATAGGTAATAGCGTTACTATGACAACTCCGATGTCATTTCAACCCTGATCACAACAAATTTTCATCTTTATCTAGTACAACTGTGGTGGCAATTTTTTCAAAACTTTGTTTATGGCGACGTAGGTTATGCTCAAACTTGGGAGGTATTGGCCCTGGAAAACTGTATCGAGCCAGCTTAAGTTCATATATATCCTCATTCCTCTATAGACTCTGAAAATATTATACTAATTTATGCATGGATGGTATTTCCAACAATACACATGTCCCTTCACTATGACTGTTACCATATATATCTCCAATGCTGTACCCGGTGGCATATACAGTAGTGATACCTCTCAATTCTGGCATCACCATGCATGTTGCAAGTGTAACTTTCAATTCAAGCTGGAAAAATCGCCCAAACACTATAACCATTCCTGGCAATTCTGTTAACATTAACATAGATTGTCTTGCTAGCAGTGACAGACTAGAATATAATTGATTACCAACAATCATTATTTGAATCATATCATCAACTGAAGTAATAATTCTCCTTATCTTACTGTAAATTAAAAAGCGCATAGACTCATTGCAACACATTGTTGTCCAGCATTTTCCCCAGATACTGCAATGTTTGTGTGACAGTATGGAGCATGAATTGTTTTTGTAGCATCTACATAGACTGAAGGTCCTAGATTCTTCTCGAAATTAGTACATAGCTTAAATTGGCCAAAATTTACCCGCTGATTCAAACTCTTGTAAGCACTATAAAATGGGTAATTGCATGTACAGAGGGGCTTTGCATGTACAGAGGTGCGTCCCTCGTTTACGAACTAATTTTGGAGTTGCCCTTCAAGTAAAAAATCTCACACAAGTACCGGACTGTTACATTTGCTACTCTACCTATTTTAGTCTAAACCATTTGTATTTTTAACATAACAATGAATTTTAGATGGAAATGGTGTATTTTTCCGCATACCCTACCTTCCATACAAAAACTCTCAGCTGGAGCTGAGATAAACCTTACTGTTTGCGCTGTAAGCAATGGTGTGCTATCTTGCAATTTGGCTGAGAGCAAATCTGTGTTGAAGATGTGCATTTCAAAACATTGTCGTGAAGTAACAGGTTTTTTGTTGTGGATTGGAACATACCGTATAAGCTATGTAGTTCAGCAAAGAAGTAGAGTAAAGGATTTATCTTTTCTTGTGGGATATGATGAAAATTAGTCGGTGAAATAAGACTTAATTGTTAAAAGTATCAAAGGGCATACAGTCATTAGTTGAAGAAATTTGTAAAATTACACAAAGTTAGGTAAATTGTCAAAGACTACAATATGAAATACACTTTATATTATGCTCCTGCAAAACTGAAAGCAGTCAAAGGAAAACAATTGCCAGGAAACACGGGTATAGTTCATTTGAGTATTGTGACATGGAACCTCTTAAAAAGAAACATTTAGTTTAAAGGAGAAAAGAAAACAGGCAGATCGGGGGTATAGATTTTTGCATTGAACAGTATAAAACAAAATAAGAAAAGGTCCTTGTATATGTTGTGTTTGTAATCGATTACTTTATAAGAGATCAGTTCACATTTTTGGCAAAAGTAAATATTCGTGTGCAGTCTTCATTTGATGGAAAACAATTTGTTTGTAAAACATCTCAATTAATACAGACATTTTCTATCAACACCTCAGTGCCACTACTAACAGAGTTTGACTCTTATTACCAACGTCCAATAAAAACAACCCCATGTAGAAACCCAGCAACTTCCTCAAAAACTACACCCATTATCTTAGCAATCAACTTGCAATATAACTGCACGCCTATACTACTTCACACATCTCAACTAACCCCTAAAATATACAATACCACTGCACTACCCACATATCCCCCATACACATAACTAGTAATAGTTGACACTACAGCTGCCCCCGCTCTGTATATTGTCGGTCAATAGTATTCTTGCTCCTTGTGTAGCTCTTTGAAATATACCGATTCATAATAAAGATGTTCACACATATTCCATACAATAGGTGAGATAAATACAGGAAATAAATGCAAGGTTCCATGTACCGTCTCAGTTCGATTTACACAGCTTTGATCAAAACATTCTCAGTTTCGAGAATAGTATATTCTAAACCATAAGAACAGATTTAATTAGAAGTTTAATTTTTCGCTATTTCTATTTCACTTTTTACGTTTAGTTCATTTTATTTGCCGGAAAGTAAGCCTTAGAAATTAAAAGAACGTTTGATCAATTCACGCTCGCGAATGCTAGTCTTATTTTAAACTTTATAGCGGAAGGACATCTGTGAGCAGGGAACAAGTCAGTACAGAATTTGATGGTCGGTGAATTTCTGTAATCGTCCATCGTTCTGCTAATGATAAGCTAGCCGTTGAATCAT